CAGCCTTTCAAGAAAGAGACTGTGGGAAAAGTGCAAAGAAGAGCAACTAAGATGATTAAAGGCCTGAAGACTAAAACATATGAAGAACAGCTGCAGGATTTGGGTTTGGCTAGAAAAGAAGGTCTGGGGTGACTTGATAGCAGGATTCCAGTATTTGAGAGGCTGCCACAAAGAGGAGGGGGTCAACTTATTTTCCAAAGCACCAAAAGGCAAGACAAGAAACAAGGGTTGGAAACTAATCAAGGAGAGAAGCAACCTGGAATTAAGGAGAAACTCCCTAACAATGAGAACAATTAACCTGTGGAACAGCTTCCATTCAGAAGTTGTGGGTGCTTCATCACTGGAGGTTGTTTTTTTAAAAGACTGGACTGAAATGGTTTAGGGTCTCCTGCTTCAGCAGGGGGACTAGAAATCCTCCAAGGTCCCTTCCAGCTTTCTTCTGATTGATTGCTTAAGGTTTCAGAATGGAAGTTCAATACACTCAAGCTGTTTGTTAGAGGATGAAACAACACTACTAAGATTTTATTAAAGATTCTATGGCATGCACAAAACATTGACGAATCTTTCTTTGGGTTTATGAATCCTGGCTATGTGCCTTTGCCCTACAAGGGCTGAAAAAATAGGATACCTGTTATTAGAAAATTGCCGTGTTCTTCCAACGGTTCGCTGTATTTCCTGACCACGTGGTTCAAACCTAAGTCTAACTCATAAAATGTCAGTGTCTGCTGGGTGTTTGCTGCAGCTTCCCCAGTGGGGTCATTGTCAGCTTCCTAAGGGAAAAAATACCAATTAAGTCCCATGTGAAATTTGAATAGTTTATACTTTTTAAAAGTACAATATGACAAGGACATATCTAATGGAAATCACGCTACAATCACCTGTAAAAACTGGCAAAACTCAAACAATTAAGAGGATTCCTATCTGGGCTGCGAAGCTTCCTGAGGCCTCTGCAGAGCCCAGCTATCCAGAGTTGTGCCAACAGGTCCAGAGCACGCGACCCCAACTTTACTGCTCCACTTCAAACCATACAGGCTCAGAAGCCGCATCAGACAGAGGCTCCTCCGGCTCAACACTCCGTCTGTTGCACAACCCTGAGCTGCAGTGCAGGTGCTCCTTTCCGCTGCTTCTCAGGAATGGCCATTCCTGCCTCAGGTGGGAGACAGCTATAAACAGCAGCAGCTACACTGAAAGCCTCTCAGTCCACAAGTCCTCCATCTCGCTGAAACCATCTAATGTACAACTGAGGACAACTCCCCTATGTGTGCGTTGAAGGATTACAGGGTGTGTGTGACATTTTACAATGGCCAGAAGTGTTTCGTGGTACATAAAGCATCCTTTCCAAGGCAATTGTAGCTTTGATTAGTTATTAAATGACATTTGTAAACTAAGAGTAGCCTCAGCACAGATAGCACAGAATCACAAAATCCATAGAAATGGATCCAGGCTAACATTTTCATTGTCCATTCCTCTCCCAATAGCTGTAGCTGCTGTCACCACCAAACAGGTGGGACAGAGGAACGGGGATTTTAGAGATTCTCTTTCCAAGTCAACGCCAGCACCGCACAATCCCAAGCTAAACACATATCCCTGCCAGCCTCAAAGTACAGATAGGGTTAACACCTGCACTCACTAGGAGCACCTCTAATACACACATTCCTTGTGCTGAAGAATGCACTCATGTTGCAAGCCCAGGAAAGAAGCAATTTCACAACTACAAGCCAACTACCAGCATTAACAATGTCAGCAAGCTGACCTAACACCAATCTAGTTATTTTAGAAATCATTTGAGAGAGAGAGATTACCTCGTAATCCATTTCCAGGCAAGCAAACATGGGATTTTCAAACCCAACGTCGACTCCAACCACATGATAAACCAAGGTGTTGGCCTTGTGGGCTTCCAATGGGGAAGAAATGGTGAGCCGAGCAGCTGCGTCTCTGTTCAGAATGTACACAAGTTTCTGCTTCTCAATGGCACCTGCAGGCGAAGAGAGGAAGTGCTGAAAGGGAAGGTTGGGGGCCATCAGGGTCAAAGCCAGCCAGAGCGTGTCCTGCTCAGCCTCTCAAAACCCAATAGGCCAGCTGAACAGGCGGGGCTCGGAGCTGCCATCTCACCTGGGCTCTCCTTGCCCTTCCAATGTCACGATCAGAATACAGAATAACAGAGCTGGAAGGGGCCTTGGAGGTCACCTATAGTCCCCCAAACTGCTCCTTTAAATTAATCAGTTTCGTTTTCCGTCAATCTTATCCAGTAAATTCAAAAGTGGCCTATTTCAATAATTCACAGATGTGTCTCGGAGACATATATAGGAAGCAAAGCTAATCTGGCACTAATAGAAAAGGCAGTCACATCAGAGGAAGTTAGTCTCAGGTGAGAACTTAATTTAATTTAATTTAATTTATTAGATTTATAGGCCGCCCAATCCCGGAGGACTCCGGGCGGCTTACACAGAACAAGAAAAGAAAAAAAAAAAGAAAAAAGAAAAAAATTCTCCAACATGCATACAATCAAATTGGGGCTGGATCCTACATAATAAGGTCAACAGCCCCAGGCCTGCCGGAACAGCCAGGTTTTAACAACTTTTCTGAAGGCCATGAGGGTGGGCGAGGTCCAGACCTCTGGGGATAGCTAATTCCACAGGGGCGGAGCGGCCACAGAAAAGGCCCTCCTCCGAGGCCCTGCCAGCCAACACTGTCCGGCTGATGGCGTCCTAAGGAGGCCCACCTTGTGGGAACTTATCGGCCGTTGGGAGGTATGCGGCAGTAGGCAGTCTCGCAAATACGCTGGTCATGAGCCATGTAGGGCTTTAAAGATAATGACCAACACC